CGGAGAAGCCAGAATCGGTGGCCGTCATTTTTTTGAGTTGAGGAAGGGTCTTGGTGTTATTGTCTTCGCTCTAATTGGAATGGGTTATTGAAGGGAGAGAAAATTAGGGTTCATAATTCGGCTTGAACTCTTAAACCAGAGAGAGGGGGAGAGGGACGGTGATTGACAGAAAAAAGAAATTGCGGGAAGCGAAAGTAGCGCGAGGGAAATAGTGGCAAAAGAGTATAACAATAGCTGAAAATAAAAAATAAAAAATATTCATTTTTTGATACATAGGTTGGTTAGAGGGAAAGAGGAATTATGGGGCGGGAATTGAAATATTTCTCTTATACTTAATTGATCCTTTAGGTTGATTATTTTAATAAATATTTCTTATATTTCAAAATTCGATTTAATATATAATTTAATTATGAAGTTGTCTATCTTATATTTATAATTAATCCACCAAGATATAAATTAATAATAAAAGGGTTCAAAAGTAAGGATTTTGAAGGAGTGTGGTGACGAAGTTAACATTGGTAACTTAATTAAAAAACATTAACCTTATCTAAAAAAAATTAACCTAATTAAAAAATGTTAACCTAATATTTGGTGACAAAGTAGAGATTTTGAACTTCGATGAAGAATTTTAATTTAAAAAACATTAAAAAATAGTCAAAATTCAATTATTTAATCCATTAACCTAATTAAAATCATAATTGATGTTTATCCTAGTCCAGACTAAGATCCCAAATATTTCTAATTACAACTCAACTCTCTTTATTCTTATATGGTTGGTGAAGTCATACAAGAAAATGAACATTAAATTCAAGATAAACACGTAACAATTAGAGATAGATTTTATTGAAAAACAAATTCAATCACACAAGAGTTCACTTTGGTTATATTTAGATCAATTCATTGCTCAATTTGACTCTTAATGCATAACAAGTTGGAAGCTCATCACGCCCACACACCCAGACACATACGCACACTATTGTTTCCTAACCAGATAACTCAAAGGTTTCATGCTTAAGGCTTCATTAGAGAGTTAATTATTGTAATTTTAGTCTTATAAAACATGATAAATTATGAGTTTATCAATCTTTCTTATTGGCCAGTGATTGATATTTCAGCTCTGAATCCATCCTTATTAGAATTTTTTTTTTCTGTCTCTAACTCATACTTTCTACTAGTCACTAGCAGGTTGGATGAACCACCTTTCAAATACTTCTCACCGCATAAATCATGTAATGTTATTTCTTTTAACACAAATAGCCAATCTACATAATCTACAAAAAGTGTGTTTTTGCAATTTCATAAACAATAACACTTAAATACAAAATTTAATCCCTAAATTCATCGCAATTAGGGATAGATTATTTTCCATCCCTACTAGGGACGGATAATTTCTGTCCCTAATAGGGATGAATTATTTTCCGTCCCTATTAAGGACGAATTTAGGGACGAATTTTAGAAAGATGTCCTGATTTTATCCCAAGTTGGGACGAACAATATTCCGTCCCTACCAGGGACGAAATTAGGGACGGATTGCAGAAATTGAAAATGTTTCGTCCCTAAATCCGTCCCAAATGGAGAGGAAATATTTTTTCATCTCAAAATCCGTCCCTATTAGAGACAGAACTTATTTCATCGTTAATTCCGTCCCAAATAGGACAAATTGTTTTTTCCATCTCTAAATTTGTCCCAATTAGAGACGCAATATTTTCTGTCTCTAAAATCCGTCCCTAATACCAGTTTTTTTAGTAGTGTTTGAAGCACAATTGCTGACGTGGTGATGGTGGGGAATGCCATTAATTGAGTTAACGAAAAATATAATAACCTTAAACAATGTAACATGAATTTAAGCTTTGATTAATGATTTAATCATAGTAATTATGGTATAATTAGGTTGAAAATCTAATTAAGTAAAAATAAGATATTTTTGAAAAAATTGCAAATAGAGTGAGTTTTGAGATATAATTGCTAGTAGGCAAAAATTACCTAAAACTTAAAAATAATTGAATGAAACATTATGAAATAATTTTAGTGAAATTTACAATCAAGTTAGAAGAGTTAAATTGATGAGAGGACGTAATTGGAATTATGCATTAAGTTGTTTGACTTTAAGTGACACATGAGATATTGTAAATATCTTAAATTTAAGATAAAAACCCATCAATTTCTTCTTTCTTCTTCGTGCGAAACCGAGAGGCCATTGGATAGGAGCTTGATTTCTAACTTCTTGGTTAGTTAACCAATCAAGGAAGTGCGAACTAGAAAAGTGTGTAGAATCACAATACAAAGATAACCTCTAATTCACAATTTGTTGAAAGTGTGTATGTGAAGAGAAAAAGAGAGGGGAAAATGGCAGTTTGGTGGAGTTTTTGAGAAAATGAGGTGGGCTTGATCTCCTTCAAGCATTGGAGAATACTCCTAGGGTCTTTGTGGAGCCATTTGAGGTAAGGAAATCTCATTTTCACAAAGTTTTAATAATGGGTCATTTTAGGTTAACATAATGGCATATTTTCATGGATGAAGATGTTGGGATGGTATTGAGCCTTAGTTCATGTATGAATATATGATAAGGAGATTAAATAATTGGTAAAAATATAATCAAATCGTCATTTAGGAAATGTTTGGGATTTTTGAAAATCTCATGTGCATATAGCTTAATTTCTTGTAATGCAAGTAATTGGCTATTGTGATTGATTTGGTTTATTGTTCCTTTGAATCCTAGGAGTTGATTAGGTAAACAATTGGTTGTAGATCAAGCATTGGATGTGTCAATGAATCTTGGTTGAATCTTGAATGGAATCAAGTGTTGGTAAGTTTTCTATCCTTGTAATATGAATATATTCATACGATGGGATTAATATTCTAGTATGGAATGTTTGTTGATCACACTTGTGCCTTTAATAGGTAAATCTAGTGTAATCTAGTGGTGTTGATCTTTTGGCTAGTTTATGGATACCTTTTGTGCAAAGGGAATCTTTGGAAGGAAAGTTACTGCATGTAAGCTTTCAGACCTTGAGATTTATCTTGTGCTTGTTCCACCATTCTATGAAGGGTTAGTGGTTTATATGGTATATGTAATTGCATAGATTTGATATGATGCATTGAGTATATGTATGTATATGCTATGTGTTTACACTTGATATGTATCAAGGATGTTTCCTTGTATAATTCATAGAGTGTAGGTTCTCTAGCCAGTAAGATTTATTATTATTGCAGCATAAGCATTCTAGAGGAATGTTTGAATAAGCATTATTTGCATAGCATGGATATGTATATGTTGTATCATATGGTTTATTGTTTTTATGCTGAAGTGAACCAAGGGTGGAGAAATCTCCAAGGACCCTTGGTTTACTGAGATATGTATGTATATCTCACCCCACGTTATAGGAATTTCAGGTGCAGGTACTGACGGTGCAGGAGCATCACAGAGTGCGAGCCCAGACTAGATTGTCATGATATTGCATGCTTGTGGGATTTATTTTGATGTGTATATTTATATCTCACATGTCATATATGTATTTTGGAGAGTATATGGAATGTCTTTACCTCTTTTGATTATGCCTATGTATATATTTTAGAAACATATGTATAGGTTGTTAACTTATGTATTTATTTTGCCAAAAGATATATGATGTATATGTATTCATTTTGGAGACTTAAATATGTATATTCGTTATGTCTATGTTGGACTTTGATGTGTTACATTGTAATGTATATAGAAAATGTATGTTGATATTCAAGGAGAATGACATGGATGGACCATGTGATTAAGCCTAGCATTGGCTTTATATACGTGTATATACTTGAATATCATGTTTATCAGGTTATATGAAAGTTTGGGAGGGATTCCCATGGCTTATAATACAGCAAAATGCTGTCAAAATGGTTTTACCCAGTAGATAATCGATTACCTGAAACAGGGGAGGCAAAAATCAGTCACTATCTTAGCTAGTAATCGATTACCTTGAGTGTGGTAACCGATTACCTAGTTGTATAATTGATTACCCCAACTTTGGTAATCGATTACCAAAAACAAGGGATGAAGTTTTGAGATACTGCCTCTACAGTAACGAGGCTGGTAATCGATTACCTAGTGCAGTACATTGGTTTTGAGAAAATGCTAGGGTAGATAGTGACGCTCTGTAATAAAGAAATCTCAGAGATTATAGTGAGATTGTGAGAGAGACATACTATTCATACTTTTCACTAAAATATCTCACAAAATCTACACTGATAGATAGTCCATTAAAATCATCAGATTTTTGAATACCACAAGATTGTTTTTCCTTTGTTTAAAATCCTGATTGTATACCATTGAATTTGGACGGATTCTAAAATAATCTTTTAAAATCCTGATCTAATAAGATGTGTCTTTTTTACGGACTTTCAAAATCCTAATTGAATACCAATGTATTATTTTGTCCAAATAAATCCTTTAAAATCTTAATTCACTACACACAATAGTTAATAACATATTGTAATTTAGCTCATGAAAAATTAATGCATAGAATACAACAACACAAAAGGAAAGCCCATTAACTTCGTGAAACCAATGTTCAATGAGAAAAGTGTGTTTGCGCGTGTTGTGTTTTTGGTTTTAATGATGAATATATATCTTATTTACTTTGTTTAGAGGTCCTTGATGGTGAAATGTTGCAGCTAGTTTAAGTCTTGTTCACACAGCGATATATCTGATCTTGAAGATTAGCTATTGGGGAAGATAATTAATCCCTTAGGTTGTGGTCCTAGCCGAAAGCCGATGTGGGGTTTTTAAAAAATCAAATGTGGGCTAATAAGGTGGAATGAGTAGAAGGGATAAGGGGATTAACCCCATGAATAGACATAGGCGAAAATGAGGTTCAGATATTTTTGATTCTAAGACAAATTTTTATTTTTGCCTTTTTGTCTGTATTACTAGTGATGTCAGAATTTGCTTGTCTCCTTTTTTTGATATTTTATCTTCACTCTGAGGTTATTGCTCTATCTAGCAACTTTTCTCTCCCACACTCAAAACTGAAAATATCTAGATTTCTTTATATCTATAATCATAGATTAATACACATGCCCAGTTTGTGGATTGAGTTACCAAGTTAAAAACTCTTGTCTCTTCAAGTCTTCCCTAGTATTCTCTTCTCCCAACGTAGTGTTATACATGGCTGCTTGTGCTACCAATGGATCGATCTTTGCGTCTAGCTCACAAACATGTTTGCCCAAGCGGTCTGTCTATTGTGGCATTTCAAACACGCATGGTCAGTCTATCTAATCTGCTTTGCTATGTTTCCCTTTTATTTGATTTTATTCCATCCTTGTGTGCAATAATATTCTTGTTGCTAGAAAGATGGACGCATCAGCTTCTTAACCTTTATGAAATTAATTTCAATAGGACCATGTGAATTCTGATTAATTTTGTGTTGTGATGACTGTGGTTATGACAATAGTGGAAGAAAATTTCTCTACCGAAGTGAGTTCTGCAGAACAAAATTCTGATTTACAAACTGAGGATGAGAGCACTCGAAAAAAATTATAAATAATCAATTCAACCCAAAAGTTCTATTAGGTAAGGGCTCATCAATTATTTATATATTTCACTAATATGTCCCTCACACAAGAGTTCATTGGATATGAAGGGTGGATAAAACACAGGTCCACCTACCTGTGCTAAGAAATTCTACAAAAGAAAGTTTGGGCGGTGAGGATCGAACCTGTGATACCAAGACTCTAATACCATATAAAGAACCAATTCAACCAAAAAACTTAAGCTATTAAGTGAGGACGAATTAATGGTTTATATAGTTATGTAACAAGAGCTATTTAATATTTACACATCAATGTTCTGATCTCCATGCTGTCACGTGCTCTCATAACAATTTTTAATAAACACTTGAACAATAAGTAACCAATTATCTAACAGAGGCTGGGGAGATGGCTGAACTTGCGTACATGCGGGTGTAAGAGAATTCTATCTGTGATGGAATCAGAATAAATTAATTAACATGGAGTGCAAACTTTAATAAAGAAAAGCATAAACTACTATGAATGGCTAGTGGAAAAGCTTATGAACTACCTTGCAGTCTTGTACAATATTATGCTTGTGCCTGATACATAAACAGCTGAAATGCAATTAAATTTAGTTTCAGTAAGAAAAGCATATTCTTTTTACCAAATATTTCAGAAGAACTAAATGATGCAAAGAACCAATTCAACCCAAAAGTTTAAGCTTTATGCACAGGATCACAGAGGCTCTGACACCATAGAACCAATTCAACTCAAAAACTTAAGTTATTGGGTAATATTACATTAATAGTTTTTATATTTCTCTACTAATTGAGTGTAGGATTTTTTGTATGTAACAATTCCGTCATTTTTTATGCAGCCAGTAATTTTCTCAATGTTTCATTAACAAGATGTTACCCAATGAAGAAAAGTCATGTGAAAGTTAGTAAAAAGATCAGTGCTGCTGCTGTTGCAACAACTCCAACTGAGGAAATTAAAGAGTAAGAACACTATTTTCTATTTTTGTTTGCTATGTAGTTTGCAATTGCAGCATTTCCAGAAACGGGATAATAAGAAAATAAAAATAAAAAATAAAAAAGTGAATTTTATAAACGTGTTTTCTCGTCCCTATGGAAAGGAATTATGTATAAAATGAAGAATTGAATAAAGAATCTGCGTGATATATGAGGTCAACTTTTAGTTTCTCAAAATTCAGATTTTTCTTTTTCTCAACCTTACACTTTTTAATATCAATGTCTATAGGTACACGCTTCCTTCATGGGCTACGTTTGAACTTGGAAGGTCCCCTGTCTACTGGAAAACCATGAATGGTCTTCCTCCAACTTCAGTAAGTGTGATAGTGAAGTCTACATTAGGTTTAACTCATTGAAAGTTACTTCCTAGCATTTTAGTAAATATCCTTACTAATTTTGTCAGGGAGAGAAGTTAAAACTTTTCTATAATCCAGCAGCAAATAAACTTGCCCCCAATGAAGAATTTGGAATTGCTTTTAATGGTACCTTTCTTGTTTATGTCACTTAGTTTTTCTAGGGGAAGGATTCGTTACAAATTTTTTTTACAAATTACATTAAATCTGATCGATCATACATTCTTGATTGAAGTTTGAAGTATGACCGATCAGATATAGTATAATTTGTAAAAGTTTATAAACAAAAATTTTGTAAGTATAACATTTTCCAGTTTTCCTATTTTGTCAATTGTCGTTACCTTGTGCCTACTTCATTTTGCTTGTCATGTTTTTTTCACATTGACTTCTAAAATTCCATCCTTTCAGGAGGTTTTAACCAGCCAATTATGTGTGGCGGTGAGCCAAGGGGTATGCTCAGAAAAGATAGAGGCAAAGCTGATTCCCCAATATATACCATCCAAATAAGCATTCCTAAGCATGGTACACTTATTTCTCAATATGTTTTTCCGACACCGATAATACTCTACTCAAGAGTGTATTATCGGTCAGACATAGTATATTTGATAAAAGTTTGTAAATAAAAAATTTGTAAATATAACATTCTCCTATTTTTCTGACAAAAAATCATTCAATTTCTTCTTGTTAACTTCTTATTTATTTTTATGCAGCTATGAACTTGATCTTCTCATTTACAAATGGAGAAGACTGGGATGGTCCCTATAGACTGCAGTTTCAAATACCCAAGGCTTTCCAGAACAAGCCAATTGACTTTTTCAATGAGGTAAACGGGCATTCCATTTCTCTTTAAATAAACTGCCTCTTGCTTAATATACCCATAATTCTAAGTATTGTAGCTTAATATTCAAAAGTACTTTCTTGCTTTTCAAGAAACCAGAAAAAATGAAGGATTGAGACTCTAGCAGATCTTTTTTTTTTGTATGAATCCTTGAAACAAATTGATAGAAAAGGTAACCATATAACCATGGATTTTCCATTCAAACCAGAAGTTGCTGACAAAACTTCACTAATGCAGTATATAATAGACACTCCAAAATGGTTGCTGACCAAATTTCACTAATGTAGTATTTACATACTCCAGTTCAGATTTTTCAATTATCTTTTACATTTTCATTTTTTATGTAATTACATCAATAATACTTCTAGTTGGGATTTTTCAAATACTTTTTTGAATATTTATACAAAGACTTAAACGAACTCCTGAACCATTAGAGATTGGTTGAAACTATTTTTTTTATTTTAGCTTAGCAGAATTTATTACTGCAAACTAAATATGATAAAAATGGAATCTATCATAGCTTTAGTTGGGATAAATCTAAATGGTTGTTTCTATTCATATGGTAGGGCTTGGCAGAGGAACTGAGTAAAGAAGGTGCATGCGAGAAAGCAATATTTCCAGATTCAAATATGATTATAACCAAATGTGCTATGATTGGGAATTTGTCAAAAGAAGGGGTGAGTACATTCTTCAATTCTTAATGTCTTTTAGTTCATTACTTCACCGTTAAATACTATCAGTTTCTAAATATTGAATAAAACATCATTGTAGGGTGATCGTTGCAATCTGGATCTCGTTCCAGGATGTACAGACCCTAGCTCACCCTTTTACAACCCACTAGCCAATGTAGACGATGGAACATGCCCAATTGACCTCGATTCTGAGTCTGAACTCTGAAGAGTAGCATTATACTGTATATAAGGGATATGTAGTCCCTGCAGAACATTAAGTTACATTCTTGAATATATAATGTAATTTGCAAAAAAAGTTTGTAAACGAATCATTCGCCGTATATAAATTATATTCATTACTGTATACTAGCATTATACCTCACATTCAATACAAAATAAGTTTGCTAGCATTCCAAAAATTCTCTGTTCTCAGAACACTAAAGACTATATTGATTGAGCAAGGCATCAAAACTGTGCTTGTCACTGATCATCTGAATCTGATAGCAGAGAACGCCTTATAACTCTAATAACATCTGTGAGAGACACAATCCCAACGAGCAAACCCTCGTGATCCACCACCCAAACTCGATGAACATGCTTAGTGACTGCCTTGTCAATTACCTCAGACAAAGGTGATTCAGCATAGCAGGTCACAAGTTCCCTATTAGAGGTAGTACCTAGATTCTGTGTGTCTGCTGTGTACAAAGGACTAGCTGCAATTTCTTCAGTGAATGACAGTGCACTTATTCCCAACCATGATTTCAGTGTGGCTAAGTAACATCCTCTTGAATCAGTTGCTGAAAATGTACCTACAAGCTTCCTGCATCTTCCCTGTAAGAAAAATGTGGCACAAAATTTTTCCATTAAACCAAAGCAACATTCCTATGTTTTTATTATATATAAAAAAAGATTTGAAGTTTCTCTGATATAAGTTATGTCATTTTAAAGAGAGATCGACACCATAAATAAAAATTATGGGAAAAAAGTGAATGGTTTTTTCTTAATTTAAATTTTAAATAAAAAAATATTATGTTGTGTCTATCTCTCTTAGAATGAAAGAATTTTATGTCATTTTTCCTATAAAAAAAATAACAATAATGCAAAAAAAAGGGTACTAAGGGAGAAAAACTTGCGTTTATAAGCTGCTTGTGATCATCTTCACTGATATCAGAGGCTAAAACAATAGGAACAGCATTTAACATAGCAGACTTTAAGCACTTAATGGCATCTACAAGTCTTGTGCGTTCAGTGATGGCATAAATTTTTTCAGTGTCAGCCCCTAAATCTTGAACTGAGCATGCCACGATGCTTTGTAGTTCAGCAGCATGTTCTTTCAAGAACCTTAGCACATCCATTTGAGTGAGCATTTGGTAGCTTGAAGCAGACTCTACAAGTTCCACCCCAGCTGACACGTTCTCTATCTGGCTGTCAACTGGAACCATAGCACGATGCACCCCTTTGCTAAACACTTCCATACAATCTAACAGGCTAATTAACACATGACAGAGAGATATAAGAATAACTAAAAAAAAAAAAACCCAAAAAACAAATGCAGTAACAAGAATAAATGTTTTTGTAGTTTTAAGGTAAATAATGTTTGGTAATTTTATACATGGGTATGTCCTGTAACACGACATCTTTCAACCATAACTATGTATTTTCATAAATACATAATTGTTTTTTTTTCTATTCCCCAGAAGTAGATAATTAGTGTGTATTAGGTTGCAAGTTCGATTCCTGTAATATTCAAAAAAGATAATTAAAATAGATAATTGCATAACCAAAAATTGACTACACATAATACTTATTATTTCCCTTTATATATTTCTGTTATCTATGGTTAGATTGGTTAGAAATAAAACAAGGGAAATAGTTTTATTATATTCTATTACATAAAAATTTCTCAATTTTTATGTAATAGAAACAAAATGATAAGTGAAACTCACAGATAAGAGAGAGAAAAAAAATAAAGATGAAACCACCTCTCTCTTGTGTGGATAGAAAATTGTGGGTAGAAAATTGGCTTCTCTTGTGTAAGATGAGATAAATATAACCCATAAAACAAATGTTCACAAGTTAAAAATATAAATGAACCTGGTATTGGGATTGAGAGTCCACAAGCTAAGGCCTTCAAAGGAGTGACCAATGATGGAAGAGACAGAGACAGACATCCTTTGATCAAGATCTTTGGTCACATCTTCATCACCACCGTTCATGTGGTCATCACCAGCTATGTGGGCCACGATGTCAAGCATTGTCACCATCCCTATGTAATGCTTCCGTACGGCCCCGGTTTGTTTATCTGACTCCACGATCATGGACCCACCAGCTCCGATCCATTGCCCTGGCGGCGCAGCCACCGGCACCGCCACCACCTTGTTCGCCACCAGTGTATTCATGGTGTGAGCCAGAGACGCCGTGTACGGCACCTCCACCAGCCTTCTCTTATCCACCATCAAATCCCTCACCTTCCTCTCCTTCAGCTGCATGCTTTCACTGCGTTGCATGGTGGCTCCGCCACCGGACTTCGTCTGCTGCATATTTTCAATTTTCCTTGGCTTACATATAACTAAGAAATGCTTCTTAATGAAAAGATCGATGGGTACTGGTAGCAAAATATAGAGCTAGCATCAATGATAAGCATGCAAAGCAGTTCTTGATTTTCCTTTAATTTTTCTGGGCCATATTATACGTGTAGTCTTGTGAGATTTGGAGTATTGTGCATGCATGTTCTGCTCTTGCCAGCTGTAATTGCGCACTAGATTACTCATCAAAGGCCTTTGCTAGGGCGACACCTTTGAAATTTTTATATACCAGCATTATAATAATGTATAAAAGTTTAAATTTAAATTGTTTAGACATGATTATATGGCAAATTGACCATACTACCAATTTTTGTGGAAAGATTTTCCTATTCAAAATTGATTTGAAATATTTTTAAGAGCAGTATGCTGACGGCATAGTCTCACGGTCCCACCAACATAGTTGACAAGACTCCCCTACACATTGGCATGATAGCATTGAGTCCAAGACTAGTCCTGTCAGGTTTTTTGACACGTTTAGTTCCGTCAACTTTTGTGACATATCTCGGCTCCATAATTAAATTATCATAATTAATGACAATAACCAAAACAATACCCTAAATTATCATTATTATTTTATTATTTATTTATTAATATATAATAAATTATTATTATAAAAATAGTACCCTAAATTATAATAATGTCTTAGGTAATGTGTTTTATTTTTTTTATTTACTTTAGTTATGTTTTATATTTTGTTATTTAATTTAAGTTAGTTATTGTTTTTAGGTATAAAGAGCCTAGGACGAAAAACCTTATTATAGAATTTAATAAAACCAAGAATTAGTAGAATAACAAAACTATTTTACTTAAAAACTATCCGGATATACATATCCAGATATGAGACCGATAAATATCTGGATATGTACGGATCACAACGGCTATAAACGACTATTTTTTTTAATGAAGTGTCAATATAAATACCCACATCAACAGTAATGAACAGTGGACGACCATAAATCAATTATTGAACCTTCATTACTCATTCTAACCAATTATTGCTCATTGATTACTTACTTTGATCATTGCATACACTTGAGCTCATCTTTCTTTTAAAGCTATACACCTATTAGTTCTTCAATTTGTGTAATCTATACTTTGAGAGTACTTAACTATTCTTAATCACTTCATTCTGATTTCTTGAATTGAGAGGGGAGTGAACCCTTGTGTAAGTGAAGGAAAAGTGTTGATCTCCAAGTGACCGAAGTCTTGGAAAATATTGTAGTGGTTTGTTGAGTACCCTTGAAGCTCAACCGAGTAGTGAAAGTTGACAGAGCAGCTTTAGTCTGGACGTAGGTCACAGTGGTGGTGACTGAATCAGGATACATCTCGTTTGCAATATCTCTAACCCTTATCTTTGCATAAGCATTGTTAGATCATTTGAGCATATTTAATTTCATATCTTGTCAATTATTTACTTGAGTTATTTACTATTATTTAGTCTCTACGTGTAGTAAATTATTTGAGCTCAAGAAACTCGTTTTCAAAAAGGAAAGTGAAGCATTTGGCGAAAATATTTTTAAAACTCAATTCACCCCCTCTTAAGTTTGAGGCCACTTGTCCAACAGCCGAGACGTATCACAAAAGTTGACGGAAAAAAATATGACTGGACTAGTCTTGTCAACAAAGCTGACGGACTCAATGCTATCTCGCCACATGAACGGAGACCGGTTGCTCTAGCTGATGTGGGGAGGAGTCCAGTCAACTATGTTGATAGAATTATACCAATCAGCATAGCTGACGGGTTTGACTGCTCTACCATAGAAAAACATTCCAAATTTGCTTTGAACAGGAAAATCTTTCCACAAAAATTGGTATGACGGTCAATTTGCCCGTGATTATATGCATGCATATCAGAATTTAAGGGAAAAATTTAAGGTGCGCCGAACTCCTGCGACAGTAGTATAGTTTTACTATGATACCTAGACGGATTTTGACATCCTAAAAATTTGCACATAATTCGTTTATGTATCCTAATAAAAATATACTACCATCGCATGAATCGAAAATTTATTCGAATTTAAGCTAGTTTTACAAATTCGAACTACCTAACGAAGTACAAATATATATATATCTATATATATATATATATAGGGTTTGTTTTTTCTAAAGTTACTTTAGATAACTTTATCTAATGTTCATCGAAACGACGTCGTTTTGGGGCGAAAATCATGGTATTTTTGTAATTTTAATTTATTTCAGGGTTATAATAGTCTTTATCATTCTAATTTTTTAATTTTTCAACCCCAAAACGACGTCGTTTTGATGAACATTAGACAAAGTTATCTAAAGTAACATTTGATACTTTTTTCCTATATATATATATACATATATATATATATATATATATTTAGTTAGATCATATATCCTGTATAGCTTTTTGTTTTTCTTCTAAGTATGTTATTAACATAGTCTGGTAGTTCCCTCACTCTACTATGATTAAATTTGATTTAACTTATTATCTAAGTTATATATATTTGTTTTCTACTATGATATAATTGATTTTAAGTTAAAAAACTTAGTTAAGTTAAAATTTATATTAGATTAATTCCTATATAATTTATTTATTTTTAAATTTTTTAACCTTAATATATGCTTGTTGATCATTAGATGATTAAGTGGTCTCTACAATTACATCTTACCCAATAATCATCCTTAAATCTAGTTGGAGGAAATAAAGGGGGAGAATGAATAAGAGAATAAAACATCTGAAAAAGTTGGACAATAAAAAAATAAAACTAAAAACAAAAACAAATTTTTAAATTATTTTCTTAAGAATAGTTTTATTCCCAAAAAAGGGAACATACCTCCTAGTTATAAAGCACGGACACTCAAATTTTTTTGAAAGATACGTGTCGGACACCGACACGCTCCGACATGTTCCGACATGCTTTTTCGATAAATGATTAACTTTTTTCGACATGTGGTCAACGCTATGAACCTTTTTATTAATATCTAAATTTTATTTTATTTACTAAACATGAAAAAATAATTTATAAATCAATTTTTTTTGTAATGAAATTTGACATGAAAAATTAATAAGGCACGAAAATTTATTTTTATTTATATTTATGTTATGAAATTTGAATATTTTATTGGTTATATGACTTATTATGGGGTGTTATATATATTAAATATAAATTAATGTGTCGTGTCGTGTTCCATGTTCCGTGTCAGTATCGGTGCAACATAGCACCCTAGTCCTTTACCCTTGCTCTTCCATACTCTTGAATTTCTTTCTTTCTCCTTTTCGCGATCCTAAACCCCGTTGATCTTGACTGAGGTGGACGGTTCTGATCAACTGAATTAGTATTCAGCTTTGGAGAGTTCGCTATACCACTCCAGTTTTGTTGCGATTGTTGTTGTTCTCAACCAGTGTGTAGTGTCGGGCTTGTCAATCGGATCTGCACTCGTAACCTTCATGATCCGAGATCTGAAATGCGACGAATAACGATTCTTTAGGGCACGTTTGGTACGCGTTATATTTCTGAATCACAGGAAAATATGATAAGGAAATATATTTTCCAATGTTTGGTAGCTCAAATCGCAAGACTTCTCGATCCAAATTTGTTTCCGATAAAATGCTTTTATGTGAAAATTTTAGTACGGACCGACAAATGATATATCCAAAAAATATGTGGAATTGTTGACTTCCCAGGAAGCCAAAATTGAAGTGCAAAAATCTGGACAAAATTGTCCTTCAATTCGTATGATGTTTAAAGAAGTGTGTCAGAGCAAAAGGTAAAGGTACCATTCATCCTCCGTGTAGTTGAATCAAAAAGGTAAAGGTGGAGTTATTTTGGTAAAATAACCTTACATTTCCACTAATATTTCATAACCAACCAAACACAAACTCAGTAAAATTAACTTAATTTTTTCGAAAAAATATGGGTCTATCAAACAGTTTTTTAGTAACATTTCATTAAAATATATTTCCCAATACATTCCGGTAATAATTATTTTCCGAATAAAAAAAAATTTATCATGTAACAAACGCCTCCTTAAAGTATTTAGATTCAAACTCTTGTTTCAATTATGTTTTTTTATCTTTATTTTCTTAATCAAACAAAGTGGTAAGATTTGTATAAAAATTAATGCGCAAATAAAAAAGTTTATTAATTATTATTATTATTGTAGGGAAACACTGTATGACTATTTATTAGAACAGGGGGGGCATGTTTGTCATTTTGCTGAATGTATATTTTCTTTGTATTATAATTGAAAAAGAAAGTAGCTTAATAATGGTGTGCAGGAAAACCGATTGAACTAATAAATGCTTGTCAGTGCAAAGACGAGTACTAACGGAACAATATAGTTATAGAGTGAGTTAACATAAAAAATATGCATGCAAATTGCAAAACGAAGCAGTGTTTTTTTTTTTTTTTTTTTTGGAGTTACCCAACTCTAATTATCTTTTTGAGACGAGTTGGCTCCCTTCGGTATCCCCACGAGCTTCGACTCTTTGCCCTTTCTTTTCTTTGTTGGTAATTTTAAAATGAAGTTGAACACAAAGGAGATTAAGCCCAAATAAAAAAACCTGATGCTCCCGAGGTTTGTCTGAGTTGGGATTCAAACTTTCCCTCAAGTAAATTTTTGAAAAATCTTTGGGAGTCAGAAGATGTGTTTTTTTTTTCGAACAAGGGATTAGTTTCATTCTTCCTCCGATAGCGAAGTTTAATACACCAACTATTTCAATAAAAGATTAGCTTTCAAGGCCGTACTCTTAGGGGTCGTTTGGTAGAAGGACTTTGTTAGGATTCCTGGGAAATTGAAAGTGGTAATCTTATTTATCTACGTTTGGTACAAATTTTTTAAAATTTTCCTGGGAATCTGATTTTCCCGGGATTTTATTTTGTGTGTAAATTTTTTTGAAAAAACCATCCAGGAATACCATTCAAAAGGTGGTATTCTAAGATTTCTATGGAAAAAGAAAATTTAATACAACTAAACACAGTATCAAGCAAATTAACCCAATATTTCTAGGGATATGTTAGTCTACCAAACAACTTTTTGATAACATTTTCAGAAAACTCATTTTCTCATCATATTCCTGAAAATCATGATTTTTTGATAAAAAAAAATTTCTTCTCCACCCAACACCTCGTTATAATAAAATGATCGGAGAGGTTGAATGGCTATTAAAAAAAAACCTGATGCAAAAGTTAACTGCATGAATGACTATGTTGTGTGCGAAACTGAAGGGTGGGAATCCCGTGAAACACATTAATGCTCATATTCTCCCCCATTTATAACAATTCCACCCTTTCTCGTGAACACACTTAAATTAACTTTACTCCTATCCCTGCACACCACCAACTTCACATTTAATTACTAACGTAACTTCACTCACTCTCCCTTACCCCATTCATTAATGGATCTACCTCAGCCTCTATAAAAAGACAAGAAATAAAAAACAAAAACAATGTGAATATATCATATGATCATCATATACTAAAAAATGAGGTTGTCTCTTCATCTATTGCTATGTTTTATGTTCTTTTTGCCACGTGCTGTGTTACCTTTCACCGTGATTATGTCCGATTCCGGCGCGCCATCCACCCTAGTAGACGGCCCACAAACGGGGTTTTCCATGAAACAAGACGGAGCAAGAACCGACACACACGAACAAGAAGCGGTTTACGACATCATGAAAGCCACCGGAAATGATTGGGCCACCGACATCCCCGACGTGTGTCGTGGTCGTTGGCATGGCATCGAGTGCATGCCCGACAAGGACAACGTTTACCACGTCGTGTCCCTCTCCTTCGGTGCTCTCTCCGATGACACCGCTTTTCCGACATGCGACCCGACCCGGTCTTTCATCTCACCCTCAATCACCAAGCTCCCACATCTCAAGACATTGTTCTTTTACCGTTGTTTCAGTTACAACCCTCAGCGAATCCCAGCCTTCTTGGGCCAGCTGGGCCCATCGTTGCAAACGTTGGTACTCAGAGAAAACGGTCACGTGGGTCCCATCCCTAATGAATTGGGCAACCTCACCCGTTTGAGGGTCCTTGATCTTCACAAAAACAACCTCAACGGTTCTATACCTGTCTCACTGGGCCGGATCACCGGTCTAAGTTCGTTGGATTTGAGTGTCAACAAATTAACCGGTTCCGTACCCGGTTTATCCTTCCCCGGTTTGAACATATTAGACATGAGCCAGAACCTTCTAATGGGTCCAATCCCTTCTACCCTTTGGGACTCTCAGTCTCTGATCAAAATGGATTTCAGTCGCAACAGGCTTGTGGGTCCCATGCCGGAGAAATTCAAGGGCCTAAAAGAACTCATGCTTATGGATTTAAGCTACAATCGTATCCAAGGCCCATTTCCAATGTCTCTCAAAAGCCTGAATTCTCTTCAGGCCTTGATCCTCAAAGGAAACCCAATGGGCTCAACGACAATACCTTCTGATGGGTTTGATTGTATGAAGGGCCTAATGTTCTTAATTTTGTCAAACATGAATTTAAATGGGCCGGTCCCAGAATCACTAGGTAGATTACCAAACCTTCGTGTGCTTCATCTTGATGGGAACCACCTCAATGGGTCAATACCAAAAAGCTTCAGAGATTTGAGAAATCTCAGTGAATTGAAGTTGAATGATAATAGGCTAAGTGGGTCGGTCCCATTTGAAAGAGAAATGGTTTGGAGGATGAAAAGGAAGCTAAGGCTGTATAACAATTCAGGGCTTTGTTATGACTCAAGAAGTGGTTTTGGTGATAGTGTAGATGATTTTGGTATTAGTTTGTGTGAGAGTTCAAGTCCAGGTTCGGTTAGGACAGTGCAACATCTTTCAGTTTCGGAAAAAACCATGCCAATGCCAACAACAATGAATGTCTCATCGGATGCTGTTACGAGGTCACTTGGACTAGCTACTTTTGTACTGTTTACTTTATCTTTGTTGTTGTAAGTAAATATATTCATAGGGAAAAAAAAAACTAAGAAAGACCTTGTCGGCACTGAGGAAGGGAAAAAGTTGTTATTAATTACATACATTTAATCCCTCATAAAAAGAATTCAGTGTTTTTAATCTGTCGGTTATCTTCCAATTACACATGAAACAAAGTGTTGATGAGAGATTGTATACTTGAAGGGAGATTTAGAATAGTCGTTATAGTTATAGACAGGAGTGTAAATAGGTTAGGCTAGGTCTTGGCTTAAATAGTCTAAGCTTATATAAAATATTTTAAGTCTAACATGACCTGTTAATCTTATATAAATCTAAATTATAAGTCTAGTCTGACTTATATTTAATAAATAAATGTCTTGACCTAGGTCCTTGTAAGTTGTCCTAACTCATTTACATCGCTAGGTATAGGAGTACTATACTATAATGTATGATAATCAATGAAAATTAAGCAAAGCGGGGCAGAAATATTGATGTATTTGCTTTAAATAATACCTGGTACACATATTGTGGATGCAACTGTTTCAGATTCTAAATATACATAGAACAATGTTAGACTAGCTTTACTCATTTGTTTTAGTCCTCTCTGATGTAAATGAATGCTAAAGGAAATGAGTGTAAGTAACTAGAAGAGTAGCAGACCCTACCATACCATTTTCTGCTATGAAAAAAGAGAGGGTGAGTTTAGTTATTTTCACTTTAGGTTGCAATATGCCTATACCAAAACATTGTGCATCACATTTATGTGTCAAATGAATAAGTACTATAATTATCATTTAGGGGTCCATATGTTTAAAAAGAGGTGTCGGCACAGTATTTTGAATTTTCAAATTGCATTGTGATTAGAAAAACGCTAGTAAAAATTCATGCTGAACAAGATTTAATCCCCTCAATGTATGCAATGTGAATAATCCATGTTCTTTTTTCTTCTTTAGGAACTCCAGGTATTGATTTTCTCGAATTATACTACAAATCATTTTTATATATACACCACCTTTAAAAATGACGGTACTCCAAATTTCTATAGTTTGACTCAGTTATCCCCTATGCCATGTGCTAAAAGAAGTGTAGTCAGCACTCATTTCTCATACTAAGTAGAAATTTGCACTTAAACTAATAATTGGAAACACCTAGCTCTGATAGGTTTTGAGAGGCTTATTTAACTAGAAGGGTTTTGATCCATTTTGGGTTACAATGATATCCGGAACATTATACACAGCAACTTATTATTTACAGTATTAATTATAAATGGTATAAGCAAAGCAAGACTTGCGCAAGTCTGCTACCAACCAGGGTAACCAGTTTAAAGAATTCTAAAACAGCTCATTTTAGAGGACCAACCACTTGCAACCCTGACACCAATCATTGAATCATCATAGCTATGCCTAATAAGAAAAATTATATTATATAGTAATATACCAGTATGCATGTACCTATTATACCACCATCATGGATTTTTTTTATTATGGTTCAGGATCATGTTACTATATTTAGAAAAGAAGCACTTGCTCCGGGACCATAATAAACAACCTCCACCATCACCTGCCATTAACTGAGACCACAAAACTAAGTCAAATTATTTTCCCAATCTCAATTAACCAAACAAAAATTCTATACATTATAACTTTTTTCTTGCAGATTTATAGCAATTGAATTAGCAAAAAACAAAAAAATACAGAAGCATCCTTCAACAGCAGTGTGGGAACAATAACAAATACTATACCTTCTTTCTTTTTCTCTTAAATTTATTTTTTTATTCAGACACAAAGGCAAATAGGAATTCCGTTTCCATACTTTGTTGCATATGGGTGTTTTTTTTTTCTTTCATTTAATTAAGGAATACTTTAAACAATTTTATTTAATTTTCACCGCAACGCTAGAATGCACCGACACGTGATTTCATAAAAAAATTGTGTGTTGAACATCGACACGCGTCCGACACGCGGTCACATTTTGGGACACATGATCAATGCTCCGACACGTTCCGATATATTTTTTTGACACGCGGTCAACTTTTTTCGACACGTGGTCAACGCTCCGACACGCATTCGACACTTTTTTTTTTTAAAGTCTAATTTTTTTTTATTAATTAAAAATGAAAAATTAATTTATAATTCAACTTTTTTCTGTTATGGAATTTGACATAAAAAATTACCAAAGTGTGAAAAATTACTTTTGCTTTATATTTATATTATGAAATTTGAATATTTGATTGATTATATGACTTATTGTGGACTGTTTTATGTATTAAATATAAATTATATTATATATATTAAAAATATTACTTAATATCAAAATATGTCTTAACGTATCGAAATATGACATTTTTTTAGAATTAACGTGTCGGTGTGTCGTATCGTGTCGTGTCCCATTTCGATGTTGGTGCATCATAGCCGAAACGACGTTGCTTTGAGGTTGAAAAATTCAAAAATTAGAATGATAAGGACTATTATAACCCTGAAATAAATTAAAATTACAAATACAACATAATTTTCGCTCCAAAATGACATCGTTTCGGTGAATATTAGACAAAATTATCTAAAATAACTTTAGAAAAAATGAACATTTAATTAAAGGAACACTTTCCTAACATTGAGCACACAAGTTTTTTATTTTGGAGAATTATTTACAATATGTATGCTCTCTTTTTTTCTCATTACCTAGTCTGCTAGTCATTGCCTTCCTGAAAGAAGAGCTAAGCACCCGTACAAAACAATTTAATTTTTTTATTTTAAGAAGTTGATGTCCTTGTAGCATGTGAAGGAAAAAGTTCATCAGGGTTCTTTGACCCTTATCTGTATGTCCAAAACATATATTAATTGGTCTTTTTATTCGCTAACAAATAGTTGTGGCAAGGTATAGATGCCAAAACTTTCCGTCTCTTTATGCTTACGCATCTAAACGAAAGTGCAGAACAAAGACAATTACATATCCCTTGACTTTACCTGTCAATAGTCACTGTTAACATGACAAGTATTGTTGAACCAGTGATTATTATTATCTAACTAATCATCAATATGAAATGACTGTGACAACATTATCTTATGAAATTATTCAGTTTACAAGCTAATAATTGGGCCAAGAACATATACACAAAATTGCATAAAATAGAAGGAAAAGACAAAAGCAATAAAAGATATACAGGTAGGAACCAAGCCATACAATGCATGTCCAACTTTCTGCAATCTGTACTACTAGCCCTCAATCAATTTCTAGTTGGGTTGAACTACCCTCTACCTCAATATAACTCAATATTAAGTGAGCATTTATACAAATTAGCAAAACATTGCATATCAGAAAGTAAAATATGCATGGTGGAGTGAATTCAGAGGAATAGTGACTAAAGTGTCACCGTTGGCAAAAAAAATTATCAGACTGCCACGTCAACAGTAAATTTTGCCAAAATGTCACGTGGTATATTTCGTTACATTATGTAGCGAAATATGTGTGCAAATAATTGGGCCAACGTTATCTTATGAAATTATTCAGGGAAAAATTTATCGATTACAAGCTAATAATTGGGTTAAGAATATATACACAAAATTGCATAAAATAGAAGGAAAAGACAAAAGCAATAAAAGATATACAGGTAGGAACCAAGCCATACAATGCATGTCCAACTTTCTGCAATCTGTACTAGCCCTCAATAGTGAAATATATCACGTGACATTTTAGCAAAATTTACTGTTGGCGTGGCAGTCTGATAATTTTTTTGCCAACAGTAACAAGATGGTCACTGTTCTGAATTCAGAGGGGGAAAAGCACAATATATTGCGATATTAATTTCTTATTCGAAGGTTATTTTCTACAAACCATTAACAAAATTACATTTAAAACTAATGATTATATTAAATATTCCATCATTATCTAAGGTGATAAAAATTACATATTCCTCGAGTAACATCTTAATGGAAAGACGATGATAATAATAATAATAATAACCTACTATATTTTTGTTTGTAGGGTAATACTTTTGTTACTTAAAAGTCTTTTGGGTTTTAAGTACATGAGAAGGATCTAAGGTGGTCCAGGATTATGTTTGATCCCTAATCCCTATACATGTGCTCACCCATCTCTCTTTTCCCTATTTGACCATCTCAAAGCCGCTACTTGTAAGAAGATTCAACCCCAAACAAAGATATTCTGTATGCTTAGCACTATAAGAAGTATGTATACCTTTGTGTTGATCAGTTATGATAATCACACACTTCTGTGAATCCAATTATTCTTTCATGGCTGACAAAGGAAAAGTGTAAGGAATACAATAAAACGAGTTTAAAAGACATTTAAGGTAGATTTTATTGTGTTTTCTGATCATGACTTTCTCCTTCAGCCTAATTTAAGACACTCTACCTAGCACTAAATCCATTAATCATGTCTCTCATCTTCACGAAGAAACTGTTACTACAATTTTAATTTTTTTTATATATATACTATGAGGCAAGATATTTTGACATGTTAAACTTTGAAATTTGACACCAAATTGTAATCGTTGATTTCCGTCAATTAACGGTTATAATTTATTATAATAGTTGATTGACGAAAATCAACGGTTATAATTTGATATCAAATTTTAAAATTTGACACCGGTGTCAAAGAATCGTATCTCATATACTATTAGTTTTCTTACGTAATATAGTAATTATCATAAGTATTTAATATATCAAATAGTATTGTTCAAAGTCATTTTATAATGATAAGTATATTTCTTTCCTTTGAATCGATGTCATTTTAAATTTGGCGTGCATAAACATTACAATCGTACCACAAACTGCCACGTTTGCTGATTGATTAATTTATGGGAAAAGTGTGTATAATTTTAAATGATGTAAAGTTGTGTCATTTCAAGTGAGAGAAAGAGATAGATTGTGAAGGAGAGAGAGTAGACAATAAAAAAATAAAGATGTGAATCTCATCTCTTTTATGAGAGTAAAATAATATAGATTGAGTAAGGTTATAGTTACAACCTTTTTTTTTCTTACAATCATATCTTATCACCGTTGCTTTTCGCCAATCAACGGTTATCATTTTAGCAAATTAAACTTATTAATTAATTATTAATTCACAACAAATGAAAACCGTTGATTGACGGAAATCAAAGATAATAAGATATAATTGTAAGAGGTTGTAAAAAAAAATTGTAAGTATAATTTTCCTCGTATAAATTATATCATTTAAAAATACAAACATTTTTTTCTTAATTTATTTCCCCCGAAACAACCAGTTACCACTATAAGAGTTTTATATTGAATTATGTATAAATAAATAAAAAATTACCCATTTTCTTATTAACGAATCAGACAAATGGACCCCACGTGTGTGTATACGTTTTTTTTCCTTTTTGAAATCTGCAAACAGCTGGAGTTGAGTTGAAGATGAAGAAAAGAGAAGACTTAGCTTATACACCATCTCATCTGCATAATCAAAAGATTCAAAACAATAATAACTGATTCCCTTACCCCTTTTTCTTTTTGTTTTTTTATTTCTTTTGGGTTTTCAGTTTCGCAAAGTACAACGTTTGCAATAACATCCCACGAAAGCATGTCTTCAGTTTCTCTCGAAGGTTTTTTTTGTCGCTGAAACGAACTAGGCAGACAATATCGCATAGTAACAGCTTTTGGAGTGGAACGCCTGATTTGGTTTGGTGGGTCAATTTCAAGTTTGGATTTTTTTTTTTCTCTGATCGATTGAGAAGTTAAGAGTGTGCAGAGAGAAGAGACAGTGGGGGTTGATTGGTGGGAAGGTTATGGCTTTTTGCCCAATCTTTTGTTGTGGAAATGCTTCGGATCGGTACGACAATGCTTCATTAGTCTCTAGTTTGAAATTACTGTTCCTTGTTATTTGTTTATTTTTCTTTATTATCATTAGTTTTTTTGGATCAGATATGAGATGTTTGTGTCATATCACTTCCAAAAAAAAAATCTTTCTTTTTTGAGCAAAATGAATACTAAAGAGGGTTTTAGATTCTGGGTTTAGCTCAGATTCCAGGTATTAGTCATACTGCTCTGTGCAACAAGACTGTTAAAAGGTTTGTTTGCTAGGTAAATCTCTAGGTAAAATAAGGAGGGAAGATTGAGTTTCTTCTTAATGACTTAATTAACATAATATGCATGGTTAATCGTTTTGTATATACCAAGGTGCCTGTTTCATTGATCCTACACCTGGAGAGTTTTTAATACAGTTTTAGACTCAAAACTCTTGTCTCAATTATGCTTTTTTTTAATGGATAGTTGATGTTTGAGTCTCTATCAATGCAGCAAAGGACGAGGGAAGAAACAACCTCCATGGAGGGTGTTTTCTTTGAAGGAGTTACACTCGGCTACAAATAATTTCAACTATGATAACAAGCTTGGTGAAGGGGGATTCGGTAGTGTGTACTGGGGCCAGCTTTGGGATGGATCGCAAGTACGACTATGCTTTCTTTTTCATTCTTTGTTGAATCTTTTCAAATCAGCTTCGGATAATGATTATTCTTTATCATTCTAGTTATTATGCACTTTGACTCTCCCAAGTTGTTTGTGATGGTTAATTTATGTACTTTAACACTATAGGGTGTCTACTGATAAAACTTATCAGACATATTGCTTTTAGCCATGGTTGATTTGCCAAACTTTATGGTCGTTTGATATCTTAGTGGCATTTTGGGGCTGCTTTGACAGATTGAAACACCTAACAAAAAATTTCCTATAGATTTCTCAATCTTAAATGAGACTTAATAATGATGATTTTATCTTGTAATGAAAAGCATCAGATTATGAGGGGTCTATGTCTAAGTTTTTTTTTTTTTTAAAAAAGAGAGTCAAATTAGGGGTAGAAGGGGAACATGACCTGCATCTGGCTTCTCTATTCTGTTGCAGCAAATCCTTCAATGTAGTACGAAAGTTTTATAATGGTTTGTGAGTGAACATAAAACAATTTGATGCCTTTGGCTGCCTTCTTACCAAAATTGATTATTTGTTCTTCTAGTGGACTAGGATGACTATTGTTTGATTCTTATAAAAGAGAGTGTGATTTCTGTTCCTCAGTCTCAGTGGATATTTCTTTTTCTTTTTTTTGGTTAAAAATGAATATTTCTTTAGACTTGTAAGTTTTGATTTGACCTTATAATGTGATTTCTAGAACACATGATCATAAATTTCAGGCGCCAATGCTGCTAAAACCTCTGATATAAAATTTTAGCTGGTGCCTGTCAAAATGTGCCGATGGCTGACACAGTAGCATAGTTGTGGAACCTTTTTTCTTTTTTCCGAGACCTCTTCAAGCTTGCTTGTATTTTGATCTGTGCACACATGCAGATTGCAGTGAAAAGATTGAAGGTCTGGAGCAGCAAAGCAGACATGGAATTTGCTGTTGAAGTTGAGATATTGGCAAGAGTACGACACAAGAATCTTCTTAGTCTACGTGGTTATTGTGCTGAAGGTCAGGAACGGTTAATCGTGTATGACTATATGCCGAATTTGAGCCTACTCTCTCATCTTCATGGACAGCACTCAACAGAATGCCTTCTTGATTGGAATCGGCGGATGAATATTGCAATCGGTTCTGCTGAGGGAATCGCGTGAGTAATGATATGCCTTTCCTTCTGAGATTCTGCATCTGTCATTATAGTAATACTAAACTTTAATTACTTTCAGATATCTTCACCACCAAGCAACGCCACATATCATCCACAGAGATGTTAAAGCAAGCAATGTATTGTTGGATTCAGATTTCCAGGCACAGGTTGCTGATTTTGGTTTTGCCAAGTTGATCCCTGATGGGGCAACACATGTGACTACAAGAGTTAAGGGCACCCTTGGCTACCTTGCACCAGAATATGCTATGTTAGGTAAAGCAAATGAGAGTTGTGATGTCTACAGTTTTGGAATTCTCCTTCTAGAACTTGCTAGTGGCAAAAAACCACTTGAAAAACTTAGTAATGCAGCGAAACGATCAATAAATGATTGGGCACTGCCATTGGCATGTGAGAAGAAATTTAGTGAACTTGCTGATCCAAGACTTAATGGCAACTATGTGGAGCAAGAGCTTAAAATAGTTATTTTAGTTGCTCTCATGTGTGCTCAGAGTCAGCCTGAGAAGAGACCAACCATGCTTGAGGTGTTAGAGCTACTTAAGGGAGAATCCAAAGATAAGCTTTCTCAGTTGGAGAATTATGAACTCTTTAGAAACCCTCCAGCTGTAGGACATGATGATGGGACATCAGCTGCTGAAGGAAATTCAGATTTCATCTCAGAAGAAAAGGAACCAAAACATGAGTTGGAAGAGAATACAAGGCCATGAACTGTGCAAAAAAAGATGGAACTACGGATTTGATAAGTTAAATACAGATTGTGAAGTTTTCAGGATTGCTTTTTATTATTACTATTATTTTATGAAGGAAACACTGAGCGCCTATTTATTAGAGCAGCGGGTGCATGTTTTGCTACACTATCAATATGGCTATGAACCATGCAATATTGCTGAAAGCCTGTGACTTGGGGTTTGAAATGTTAAATACAGATTGTGAAGTTTTCAGAAATTATAATTTTTTATTTAATGTTAGCCTATGTAGCACTGATATCGATACAGAATACGAGACACGACACTTCGACACATTAATTCTAAAAAATGTTATATTTCAACATGTTAGGACATATTTTAATATTAAATAATATTTTTAATTTATATAGTGTATATTATATTTAATATACAATAATTTAACAAAAAAATGAACTTAAAGTTATAATACCATCAATTTTGCAAAGAAATATAAAATATCTTAAATATTTATATTAAACTCAATAAAATGATAATAGTAATCTAACGAATCTAATAATTGGAACTAAAAACACAATGCAATGCAACCTTTGAATGTTTTTTTTTTAGTCTCTACAATGCGTGTTGGAGTGTCGGGGAGTGTCGAACATGACACGTTAGGATTTTTGAAGTGTCGGTGCTTCATAAATGCTAACAAACACCTGGTGTGTTCAGCAGAGGCAATTTTGCCGCACTGTCTGTGTAAAGTGTAAACCCGGTTCATGCTAACAACTTTATTCTCAGTATGCCTCTCAAGAATTTTAGGTGGAATAATTTCTGAAACCCTGATACTGTGCAGGACCACTGTCTAGGCAGTAAGGTCCTAAATAGTGTCCCATCCTCAAAATTGATGTCACAGCTCACAAGGCACTATCCTCTTGCGAGGATTCTAGTAAAAATTATAATGGAAACAGTTGATATTATATAGAGATCCCATAAATTTCCAATAAACTCAAATGTCTTATTTTGATTATATATTTAGCTTCGTATGACAGAAATTTAATCGTTTTTATCACTTCCTTTTGAATTTTGAATTGAACTAATCATACCCGTAAGCTGACTTTAGTGCAATTCTTTATCATGAAAAGTCCAGTTACCTACTTATATTAAGATTTGAAAATGACATGAACGACTTTTGTGACGACTAAAATACATGCTCTTATTAAATTAAGTTCTTAATCTTTTAATTTATATTACTTATATAACCAATTTTAATTTAATAATATAATGCCGGACAGTTTTAACAGCTAATTTGATTAACTGATTATTTTATAAGAAGCTATTTCTAAATAGCACTTTTTCATACAAAGTTTTTTTCCAGATTTCTTATGTCTAATATTATCAGTTTACGACTTGAACCGCAACTAACCGAAAAACCAAACCTTATGACAAGTGAACTTCCGGTCCAGGGTTATACAAATTACAATCACGGGAGTACTAGCAAACCAAGTAGAATATGTAAGCTCGTGTAAAACCCCTTGAAAAGGATGACTAACGCTGTAGTGTAAAACGGCTTATAATTGGACCAAATTTCAACGTAGAAGGAAATCCAAAACCTCAATCAATCTAATTGCTGAAAAGATAAGGGTAAATTACAATTGTTGATTGGAAATTATTTACAGATCTAAGATGCCGTTGTTACAAGATTCCTAGTAGGACGTGCAACAATAGATAATACAACATATTATAACAAGTTTCAAAAATTAAAGGACCTGCCACTTGCATATCTCAAAATAAACTAAACATTTGTATCTCAAGAGAATGTGTCCTCTCGATCTCCCTCGGCAATTGTCTCACCTTCCTCCATACTGCTGAACTCTAAGAAATGGGTTGGCCTATGCTCGTTCTGGTAATACGCACAAGGTTTATCAAGCTTCACTCCATACTTCATCCCTGATGCGTGTCTCACCCCCATGAAGTTGTAATTCCATGGACCATTATCAGGAACCTAGAAAATTGTAGCCAGAAAACCATTAAATCAATCAGTAAAACAATGCAAAAATAATAATAATAATAAATAAGGGTTCAATTTTTCTACAGTTACTGCATATAAGTTATCTGCAGTAAGCCCAATACGACATCGTTTTGGAGCGAAAATCATGGTGTTTTTGTAATTTTAATTTATTTCAGAGTTATTATAGTCTTTATAATTATAATTTTTTAATCTTTCAATCCCAAAACGGGGTCGTTTTAAAAATAAATGCAAATAACTTATCTGCAATAACTGCAAAAATATTTTTCTGAATAAATAAAAACATAATTTTATAAGACATACAATCATATTTTGATAGAATATACTAATATAACCATCCAATCATATACAACAGGGAGAAAAAAAAAGAGAGGATACTTTGGGCAGGCAGGAAAGCCTTACCATGTAGAAGCCATAGAAACGGTCACTAAGGAGCATTTGAACCTTCTCATAATGAGTGGGAAGGTAACCATGAGGATTGCTTCCCGTATCCTTGTTGACACGTCCCCATTCATAACCGGATGGAGTGAGCTTGTATGCAGTCAAAGAGCAGGAACCAGGAGTAAAACTGCAGGTCAAGATAATACATTTCTCCCCATCCCATTGCTTATTGTTCTCTAGGATCTTAGCATGTGAAGTGAGATCCTGCAATGATCATTTCTCGGGTGAGATCATGTACCATGAATCATAAAATATACCCCCCAAAACAAACAATCTAAATTTTATTATTTTTTTTAGGTCGGGGGAGGGGCAATTGTTACAAAAACTTTATTATATTCCTTATTTTTAAACTTGCTCTTACACTCCCAAGGAGAATTAGAAAACCTTACTATGTAATGAGATTGAATTAAACACCTAAAAAAATTGAAAATTTAACTAAAGCAAGCAAAACCTGAGGCGACAACTGAGGAAGTTCATTTGGTTGAGTATGCATCCATCCCAAAGGCTCCAAATCATTCAAGAAATCATTTTCTGGAAGAGCTGATGGCAGATGAACTTGTTGATGAGTCCCCCATTGTGGTGGCATCACAATGCAGCGAATTTCTTTAACCTGAGGATTGTCTGGAGGACTTATGCCATACAAGTACCCAGCAATTTGCGTTCGAAGATCTGCTATGCATATAAAATATTTCAAAATGTTCTTTGGCATAATATAGGTGTACCCAGTTTCCTGCACCATAAAATCTGATGTTAGCATATGACAGGATTTGTCATGTAACATAAATTAGTAAAAATGAAGAAAAAAGCATAAACCTTTATATCCTCGGAGTTCACATATATATGATTTACACGAAGGTATAAATTTGTGGCTGATATTGCTCTGACACGCCAGTCAGTCTTCGAACCAAAAGCAGCTTGTTCATAGGGACTAGTGGTTGTTACTATAAGTTCTTCACCATGAACATTTGTGGTCTTTGTTGTTACAGCTGTCACTTGATTTGCTTCATGCGCCTGCAAAATAATAAATACAGAATAACTCCATAAATTACTCAATTATATGACAGAAAGAAATCAAGTCCTAAGACAAAAAAGGATAAAAAGATGGGGAGAGAAAAAGTGTTGTTATGTCAAGGAAGCAGTAAAAAGTAAAATAACCTGTTTCTCAATCTCTGCAATCTGTTGCCGTTGTTGAGAAGGAGGAGTTATCTCAGCTCCAAGTATAATATCACGAATCTCAGACTGAGTCAAAGCTGAAGTATTCACATTATTTTTCTTGGCATAATCCGAAAGTATAAGATCTCTTAGTGCAACCTCCACCTGTCAATGTATAGAGGAATCAGAAAGCTGAAGAATCAGGACTATAAACAAGCCTACTAAGAAATAAAACCAACTCAAAGGTGTAAAATATTAAAAAACTTAAAATGGAAGTTAAAATTACCTTCATCCACTGGTCATCACTTAGAGAAGGCCAGATGTGATGAGGTTCAGTGATGATAGTTTTGTCAGGCTTCAGTAACATTTTTGCCTTTTCATTATTAACATGAAGTGCACGCAAAATCAGAATCAGCCTGGAGAATGCAGTGTACGATGAAATACTTTTCAGCCAGTCATCATAAATGTTGAACAAAACCATTTGTGGTTCGGTGGCCTTCAAAATAAGATCCCCAAATTTCTCGATTTTCAGACATGCCTGGAAAGGAAGCTGCAGCTCACTTCCTTTAATAACAATGTTGGGGAAGTCCAGTAAGTGAACCTCCAATGGATCCAACATTCCTTTCCGAGTGACAATAATTTGTTTAGGCTGTTCTTCTACAGGCAAAGACCTTACAAGAGCAGCAACTTCTTCTGCTGTTTTCCACTTTGCCAATTGGCCAAGACGCTTCTGACCAGCCCACACACTAGTATGAATAACCTGCAAGATATGATATGACAGATCAATATCCAAACAAACATTAGAAACACCCCAATAAGGATGAGAGCACATAAACAAACCTTAAGAAACAACTGTCCAGTCCTTGGATTAAAAATAAATATGGCACCATTGATGGGTTTTGTTGTAAGATTTCCTTCAAAGGTCTTGTGGATTGTAACGCGATACACATTAGTGTCATCAACAAACCATATTATTTGGTTGCTGAATATCTCTCCATAGTTTTGGGAAGACAAATATGGTTCGGTGGGCTCAGAAGAGTACAACTGCAAACCTTTCCTTATCCGCTCCCTCAACACATACAATGCAGGATTTGACTGCATAAACACAACATTTATAGTAAAATAACTCAGAATAAATAATCAAAAAAATACATAGATTTTACATTACAGCCACCAGAGCTTTAGTGCAGATGGGGTAAATATAGATTAGAACAAGTCATAGGAAAAAATTTATCCCAAAAACAAAATAATCATAGTAACAGCTTTGTGATGTACACAAATGATTTATAATTTACACAAATGATTTATAATTTTGCAAGATTTTTTTTATGTGGTGGTTATTTACCTTCATTATCTTATTCATGGCCTGCTGAAGTAGTGGCTTTGACCCAGGGAACCAGTTCCCAAATGCAGAATGCAAGTTATATGCCAAATCAAGGCCAATCATTACCCCTGCATGAACATCAATGATCAACTGAACACTACATATAAAAAGCATATAAAGTAGCATAGGAAACTGATAGAGATGTACCGGTAGGAGATGGATATATAGACATATTATCTGTTGTGTAATCCATAAATTTGGCCCTAGTGTATCGCTCAATATCGTGGGAGTCATAATCACCCCATCGAAGCTGCAC